CTCTCTCTCTCTCTCTCTCTCTCTCTCGTAGTCTGCTGATACGGTGAAGTCAGATAGCAAGAGGGTGAGAAGGAGATGGTGGACTGAGAAGAGGAAGAAGAAGAACTCTCTCTCTCTCACGAGCCAGGTACTAACCTGTGAAGTTGGCACTGTGCTGCAGGTTCCTCGAAGACGAAGCTGGAGCACCGGCGCTGCAGGTAAGTCCTCCTGGCCTCCGCCCAATCTCTCTCACTCTAGTACTACTCTAGCTGCTATGGCGCCCAGCGCTGAAGACTACTGCTAACACTACTACTACTCCTGCAGCGCTCCTCCAGAGTGCTGCTGCTGAATCCTGAAGACTCCCTCCTCCCTCCTGAACTGCACGTGAAGTGCCTGGGAAGTACCTAGGAACTACCTGCCGGCCTGCAGGGCGGGCCAGTCCTATATAGTGCTGGCCCATCCAGGAGGCTGCTCTTGCCAATGCCTCAACGTGCCAGACCCTGGGGTTGGAGCTCAAACAAAGGTTGTCTTGAAAATAGGCCAGAAATGGCCTGAGCTAAAACCCTGGTCTGGTGCCTGAGTTTCAGGGCAGGTCGGTCTTATGAGGGCCTGAAAATGGCCCTCAGTTTCAGGCTGAAAAGACTCGGGCCGGAAAGGCCCTGATTTAGCCTGAAACAACACAGGGCCTGTAGGCCCTTGTTTTCAGGCTTTTAGCCTGAAAACATCGCGGGCCTGAAAAGTGGCCCATGCAGCCTGTTGCAGGCGCAGCATGTAACAGGCAGCCTCATAATCTCAGCCCAGCCAGAAATAAGTTACATGAGGCTAACGATGTTTTTGGAGTTCTCCTTGGACAGCTGCAGCGTAGTGCACTGCACTATTGGGTCACTGCTAGCTGTCCCCTCGTGCAATTTGTGGATGGAGTTCTCCTTGGGAAGCTGCACCGTAATGCACTGGGTCACTGCTAGCTGTCCCCTCGTGCAATTTGTGGATGGAGTTCTCCTTGGGAAGCTGCACCGTAATGCACTGCACTATTGGGTCACTGCTAGCTGTCCCCTCGTGCAATTTGCGGATGGAGTTCTCCTTGGGAAGCTGCAGTGCAGTGCCACTGCTAGCTGTCCCCTCATGCAATTTGCGAAAAATTTTGCCGAAAAGCATGACAGTGGTCATGCACCAGTGAGGAAGGGGAATGGTGGTTTAGAGCAGCCGCTGGCCAATGCAGGACAGCAGTCCTTAACTATCTTCATGATAACTACTGTAAAATGATTAACAAGGCTGCCCAAAGTGATTGTGTGCAGGTGACAGTATCTTGCACACCACAGCCGAAAATGTGTACAGCCAATGACTGTGAAGACGCAGGATACTACGTGGGTGTGCAGTCAAAGCCCGGGCATGTAATTTCACCCCCTTCGCTTTTATCAAAAGCGTATGAAAATGCTAAACAGGAGATGCCAAAACGAACGCTTTCTTGCCCAGAGAAGACAATTTTGCTTTCGAAGAATGTACAACCATCCGCTGACAGAATCACAGCTGTCGTAGTCAAATATTCTTGCATTGTCGTTCGTTGTGTAACAAGGAGTTGAGAGGATGTTTTACTGTGGTTGCAAACTGACTTAACGTGCAGTCAAACAGCACGAGGTCTCTTCAACTGCACCAGGTTGGGGATCCACACCGCAGACAGGGGTCACGATGAACTTGACAAGGGCTGACACTGTACAGATCCACAAAGAAAAGTGACACACACAAGGTTGTTGCAAAGCCTCTTCCCACATAGAGCTCATTGGCCCGCATGCACAACCACAGATACGGCAGGGCTTCCATGCACAATTGTGAATGATTTTGCCCAACAAACACCAAGTTAAGCTCCAAAATAGTTTTTTAACATGAAAAGGCACTCGAAGCATCCTTCATAAGAACAACTCAAATTCAAAATTCATTAACCAACATTTACTTTGCAACAAACATTCAGCTTGAAGTCTGGTCAAGACTAGAAACAAAATCTCAAGCATTCACAATGACCAACTCCCCATTCAGACAGTTGATTCCTACTCATGCTTAATCTGCTTGCTCAGGAAAGGCATGATCACCATGGCCATGGCTGACCTACGTCTGCTTGCCAAATGTCGCTGACGTTGGAGTGGCCCCTCTTTTGGTCCTGAACATCATGTACCCCAATGGCAGTACCACACCCACCATCATTATCAAAGCCCCAATCAAGTAGCGGACAGCCCCTGGAGGTTCGACCTCACCAAGCCGACGCATCTGCTCATACACAACATGCCAAAAGAGCCCAATGTTGTCAAAGTCTAAGCAAATCACATGACTGTGGCATGTTGCAAAACCGTTTTTTTGACAATGCTCTCTCTCTCTCTCTCTCTCTCTCTCTCTCTCTCTCTCTCTCTCTCTCTCTCTCTCTCTCTCTCTCTCTCTCTCTCTCTCTCACACACACACACACACACACACACACACACACACACACACACACACACACAACCAGATTATCATCAAAAACAGGCAAGAAAACGAAGAGGGAGAGAAAGGACACAGCATATGAAAGCATCCCATAATTCCCAAGAATGCCTAAATAGACCCTACAACTTATCCTGAAGTACTATGCAAGCTTGAACTCCAAAAGAACCCCGAAACACGGAACGCCAGTGTATCCACGATTCGAATGAAATCAACTATTTATGAAGAGAGGCCTATCTTTCATTTATAACCGGGAAGACTAGAACTCACACCTGTTCCACCGAGGTCCACAAACATTTACAAATGGCTTGCACTGTGATGTACATTAACTTGGGTTCCATAATGCACAATAGCCAGCCAAAGTGAACTTGTCATATATACCATGCATACACAATCTAAGATGCAACAAAACTACCCAGGTCATGGTCTGGCAAGCCTGCAGGTAGCGCCGGCCCAGGCTACCACGCCTACAGCCTGCTTCCCCAATCCGATACCAGTCTGCAGGTTCAGCCTGTCATTTGTTCGTCCATTCAATGACTAATCTAACTGTGAACTGCTCTGTCTCAGCGGCCACCTGCTTCTCTCTATTATAATGTCTATCCAACCTGATGTCTGCCACCATCTCCATGGTTGTGCATGGGCCTGCCATCACGTGACATTGATACTGTTATCAGAGCAAAAAACATAGACAGCCCTCTGAGTTGGCGCACCAAACCACCAGAAATCAGACAAACAGTGCCATGAACCTCCCCTGGCCGCAAAAACTGCAGAATCAGATGATCTTATCTATACAAAAGGGAAACCGAGGTCTGCCGTAACGCTGCCGGAAGGCCCATTTTCCACTGTTGGGAAAACGGGCACGAGAGGGGCCAGACCCAAAAAAAGGCAACGGGGGAAATGCGCAGCGCGGCACAACCGGTATCCGAGGACACGGATAGGAAAGGGGCTGGGCCCAAGCAAATGTTGCATGGAGAACGCAGAGCCTGTGCACCATTGTGCCCTTGAGGGTCGGGTCAGGCACACGGCAGCAGGCGGCGAAGGGGCACATACAGTCCGAGTAAGAACAAGTGAGCGTGGTGTGCCATGCAAACGGCGTACTGATCAAGCGGAGCGGCTGCTAGGCACACGCGATCCAATCACAGTTGCAAGGAGGAGAACGAAGTAAGGCCGATCAGGAGGTTCACTTGCAGGGAGGAGAGGGGAGCGAGCAAAGGACTACGGTCTCCTTTCCCCCATCCGTGAGTTCCCCCCCCCCCCCCCCCCCCCCCC